ACCAAAAAAAGAACAGAAAGAACAGAGTTTAAGAACAAGTGAAAGGACTCGATGATGTCAGTGAAGGTGCAGCCATTCCTCTCCAGCCCTAATTTCCATAAGAAGGCTCTGTTGATGGGCTCCAAATAATATCTTTTTCCTTTCTGAAAGGATGCCCCACTAGGATATAAGAGAGAGGTCTTTATAGATTGCCAATTTCATATCTGAGAAGGTCAACACTAGCATGGTGGAACTAAACTTTGTTCCACCTTGCCATTAAATTGCTGAATTTCTCACCAAAGCCTTACCAAGCACAAGCTTTGATGAATTCAACTCCAAGTTTGGCTTGTATTCTATATGCAATCCAACTTGAGGGGAGTGTATATTTGTATTATTAGAATATTAATTTACTTAGATTAGATATTAGTCTTTTATTTTTAGAAATTTTTAGTTCATATATTTTCCTTAACTTTTAGTAAATATCTTTTCCTTCGTTGTAATTTTCTTTTGTATTATATTAGCCCATTGTTGGGTCTCTTGAGAAATAAGGAAATTATTTTCTCCCAAAACTACAGTCTTTAATGCTAAAAGGAGGAGCAGTACTACGTTGAAGGCTCCCAGGATGTAGGACCAGTATTTGTCAGCAAAGGGACCGAGAAGAAAGAAGTGGTTGTGTCAATTAGCTTTATCCTTCAACTTTATCCCACCCACTTAGCAATTGAAAGATATTTTCCTTTGATCTTTAATTAAAAACCCAAGCCATATCCAAATAGCTTTGTGATTCGTAATTGTATTTGCCAGGATAGTTAGTTTTGTAGGGTAATTTGTTGTAACCTAAGGCTATTCCCATATCCAAGACTACATTGTACATTGATCATAACTCCCCGGTTATATTTATCCCTTTTTAATTAATTAAAAGATCCTTTTTTAACCTTAGGCTAGTTGTCTAGTCAAGATCTTTCAAGTTTTGTTCAATGTTTGATTTTTGGACTGTTGAAATATTGGAAGATATGTTCATTATTTGGGTGTTTTCTTCCGTTTCTTTTGGAGATTTTATCTTTGAACACTTTTCTATCTTTTCATCTACCAATGAAAAGTTTGTTAAGTTTGTTTCTGGTTACAAGAATTAATTAAAAGAAGTGGCCATTAATGACATACAGACTCTATATGGCTTAAACCAGTTGTTGCAGTCAGCTTTTCACATCAATAATAAAATTGATAGCCCCTTTCTTGGCTACGGCTCCAACAAAATGGAAGAAAGTTGTTGAGGTAAATTGGGACAGCAACCCTAACATCAAGTAATCCATTTACGTCATCTACACCACGAAGCGTTCCTTTACCCAGAATCACAAAATGACTCGGAGAAAATTTTTATTTTAAGCTTCAACATAAGATTTAACCTGAAACTTCTTAAATAGACATCGAGACTAGTAACAATCAAAGTAAAAACAGTAGGCAAAATACAGCACTATACTAAAGCCAGTCAACTCACTAGTAAATCAATGATAACAAACTCTTTTCAAATTAAATGAAAACTATACCATATTATATTGAAGCAGTATACCTGGACATCACCTTGTCTTCAACAAGTAGACTATTAGAGGCCAAGAAATCCATCACTTTTCTAATAACCTATAGACAAAAGAATCATGGTGGTTATATGGAAGAAAACACCCACTAGTTTAACCTCCATACATGTTATATGCAGTGTTGGAGGTTACCATGCCAGCTGGAAATATTCTACATCTAAAGCAAAATTGTTCAGACAACTATGACAGCAAGCATTCCCTCCATTACCAACAGATAATATTCCACTAGTCAATATCTCTAGGTATTTCCAGAAATAGAAATCAACTTTGAGCTCTTGGCTAAACTCAATTGCGGCCTTTTTTTATGCAACAGAAGTAGTGAAAAGTTTTAGCAAGCAACCAGGCTTTCATTGAACAAATGAAAGAATAAAAAAAGAATACAAAAAAAC